GAGAGTGTGTGAGAGTGTGAGAGTGTGTGAGAGAGTGTGAGAGAGTGTGAGAGAGTGTGAGAGAGAGTGTGTGAGAGTGTGTGAGAGTGTGTGAGAGAGTGTGTGAGAGTGTGTGAGAGTGTGTGAGAGAGTGTGAGAGATTGTGAGAGAGTGTGAGAGTGTGTGAGAGAGTGTGAGAGTGTGAGAGAGTGTGTGAGAGTGTGTGAGAGTGTGTGAGAGTGTGTGAGAGTGTGTGAGAGTGTGTGAGAGTGTGTGAGAGTGTGAGAGAGTGTGTGAGAGTGTGTGAGAGTGTGTGAGAGAGTGTGTGAGAGTGTGTGAGAGTGTGTGAGAGTGTGTGAGAGTGTGTGAGAGTGTGTGAGAGTGTGTGAGAGTGTGTGAGAGTGTGTGAGAGTGTGAGAGAGTGTGAGAGTGTGAGAGAGTGTGTGAGAGTGTGTGAGAGTGTGTGAGAGAGTGTGAGAGTGTGAGAGAGTGTGTGAGAGTGTGTGAGAGTGTGTGAGAGTGTGTGAGAGTGTGTGAGAGTGTGAGAGAGTGTGTGAGAGTGTGTGAGAGTGTGAGAGAGTGTGTGAGAGTGTGTGAGAGAGTGTGTGAGAGTGTGTGAGAGTGTGTGAGAGTGTGTGAGAGTGTGTGAGAGTGTGAGAGAGTGTGTGAGAGTGTGTGAGAGAGTGTGAGAGTGTGAGAGAGTGTGTGAGAGTGTGTGAGAGTGTGAGAGAGTGTGTGAGAGTGTGTGAGAGAGTGTGTGTGTGTGTGTGTGAGTGTGTGTGTGTGTGTGTGTGTGTGTGTGAGTCACCCTCTGTGTGTGCAGCTGCTGCTGTATCTCCTGCAGTTGTTGCTGTAGCTGCTGTGTGTGTTGCTGTAGTTGTGTGTGTGTGTTGTGTGTCTGCGTCTGGAGTGTGTGTAGCTGCTCTCGGTCTCTGCGCAGCTTCTGCTCCTCCCGCTGGAGATCCTCCACACACACACGCAGATCACACACCTGCAGCTCCTGTACATCAACATCATCCTCATCATCATCTTCATCATCAAGTCTGCGGAATAAACGGTGTGTGTGTGTGTGTGTGTGTGTGTTACCAGTTGTTTGTTGGTCTTCTGCAGCTCCTGGTTGTGTTTCTGCTCCTTGTTTAGAGTTTCTTCAACCTGAGAGAGATTCTCCTCGACTCGAGACAGAGCCTGAGACACACACACACACACACACACACACACACACACACACACACACACACACACACACACACACACACACACACACACACACACACACGTGTTTAACAGCATCATCATACATGTGACGGCATGCAGAGTGTGTGTGTGTGTACCTGTGTGAGTCTGTTGTGTGTTCTCTGTGCCGCCTCCTTCTCCTCCCGCAGGCTCTTCATCTCCTCGCTCTGCTCCCGATCGTGTCTCTTCCAGCCCTCGACCACCTTCACCAGCGTCTACACACACACACACACACACACACACACACACACACACACACACACACACACACACACACACATTATATTTAATAATAATAATAATAATAATAGTAACAGTAGTGGCCAGACTCTTAATCCCTTAATGAGAATCATAAACAAACATCTGGAATAAACATGAGTCAGAAAACACACACACTGAACACACACACTGAACACACACACTGAACACACACACTGAACACACACACTGAACACACACACTGAACACACACACTGAACACACACACTGGAGACCATCAGCCGAACATCACAAACATCCTGTTCAACCAGTCAATCACTGACACTAGGTGGCACTCTGGGTCATTGTGTGTGTGTGTGTGTGTGAGAGAGTGAGAGAGAGTGATAGTAAGTGTGAGAGAGGGTGTGTTTGTGACTGTGTGTGTGTGTGTGTGTGTGTGTGTGTGTGTGTGTGTGTGTGTGTGTGTGTGTGTGTGTGTGTACCTTGTCGAGTTGTTCAATCATGATGTCTTTCTTGCGGTCGGCGGCCACAGCGAGTGTCAACTGTTGCTGAAACTGCAGAACTTTACTGTGGAGAGACGCCACCTGCTGCTCACACACCTGACACACACACACACACAGATGAGCATCTACACTTGATAAACTTTGACCAGTATTAATGTAAAGATATACTCGTATCCACAGCAACTTCCGAATGAGGAACCAGCAGCAGTTGATGTAGAGACGGGGCGAGAGACCTATAGCAGTACCTTCCTGCGCTCTCTCTCTCTCTGCAGACTCTCTCTCAACACCTGCAGTTCAGCAGCGCCGCTCGAGTCCACACACACACGAGAATACCTCGGGAACAGCTCCTGCACACAGCCCGCGCTGACACACACACACACACACACAGCAGATTTATGGTGAGGTCATCAGTGTAATCTCGCCGCTGGAGAACGCGTCGGTCGACCCCCAGTGTGTGTGTGTGTGTGTGTGTGTGTGTGTGTGTGTCTCACCTGAGCAGGTGTGACGTGTTGTCGCTGTCGTGTGAATCATCCAGGAAGTGATGCGACACAGGGGTCAGAAAACCTGCAGGGTCAAAGGTGAAAGGTCAAATTTTCAAGAATTTGGTTACCCTCTTTAGAGCCTGTTAAATCTCCCAGCATGCCCCATCAGTGTTGGTTATCTTTTACTCAACTTTACTTACTGGCCCCAGTTACGGCTCACTTTGGCCTGTCTGTATTATTACACACAGTTCTGTTATAATATATTCTATTCTGGACTAAACCGGTTACTGGGCTGATGGACTTTGTGTTGGTGTTTATGTATTGATCTTTATTTGTTTAATTTTTGTTTAATGTAATTTTATTTATTTATTTTTGTATTTCCTTTTTTTGAGTGTTTGTCCTCGTTGTGAAAAATTCCAAATTCAATAAATAATAATAAGTGCGTGTGTGTGTGTGTGTGACTGAATGAGTGAGATAGTGTGTAACTGAGTGTGTGAGTGAGTGTGAGTGTGTGTGTGTTTGTGTGTGTGACTGAGTGTGTGTGTGTGTGTGTTCTCACCGTGTCTGTCCGCAGTGGTTGGTTTTGGTCTCAGTATGGACTGTAAGTGTGTCCTTACACTCTCCATCTCCTCTATGTACCTCCTGCCGCTCTGACACACACACACACACACACACACACACGCTGGATGGGCTTCGCGTTCGCTGCGTACTCATCATGACACATAGCAACACAGCTAAAGATTAATATATAATATATTCATATATGTTTGACGTGTAATTGGAAGTCACCAGATGCGTTCACACACACACACACACACACACACACACACACACACACACACACACTGCCTTCTAGTTAACAGATTTCCTTATGGAGAAACAAACTATTATGGAAATACTGTCAGTCGTCACTTCTCTCCCGCTAGATTGAGTTTGGTGAGTCTGGTGTCGTTATTAGCGCACGGCTCACACACTCACCGACAGCTCCTCTGACTCCTCCCCCTCCACTCCTGAGCCAATCACATCACGGCAGGAGGCGGAGTCCAGACTGCAGTCCTCCAGCCTATGAGAGAGGAGAGGGGGCGTGTCTACGGTGGCCCGGAGAGCAGTGAGGTCAGGAGAGGAGAGGGCGAACGACACCTGCCTGGCACAAAGAGAGAGAGAGACAGTCAAAACTCATGCTCTCATTATGGACTACGAACAATTGCTTGTGATCTGTGTGTACCTGGCGGCGTGACCTCTGACCTCCTGCTGTCGGCTGTGCTGTAAGGAGCTGTAGAGGTCAGAGGTCACCTGACGAGAGGAGGAGAGCAGAGAGAGGGGAGAAGAGGGCCATGAGCGAGCGAGAGCCGGGAGAGAGGAGTGATGAAGATCATCATCATCATCAGGAGCTCGGCTCACAGACATCTCACTGCACACACACACACACACACACTGAATCAACATTTTTTTTTTATTATTGAAATAATTATACATTACAGTAAATAACACACTGAATCAACATGCACCAGTGCTACTTTTCTTTATGTCATAATCATTTGTTAATAAACAAGTATGCATTACTTCACTGAGCTCATTTCTGCCTTTAATTATTACATTGTCTAAATTAATTATTAACACACACACAAATCACACTCACTCAAAAAAAAAAAAACACACGCACACACTCACTCACGACCTGACTGAGACAATAATATGTCTCAGATCATGATTATGCAGCACCGAAATCATACATTTATTAAAGTTAATAAAAACTCCTCATTTTTCAAGATTGTCATTACGTCATATGATTGGTTTATTCTGAAATGCCAGTAAAATCCCCCGTCTCCATGGCGACAGCGGCGGACGCTCCTCCGGAGACCGAGAGAACGGCACGACGACGGGTCAGTTTTGAGGCTCGCGTTGAATTATTGAATCGCGTGATGTTTAATATGATCCGAGTCCGACATAAAAATAATAATAATATAATCCGACATCAAAAATAACGCCATAAAGCGCTGCATCTGACGCGCAAATCAGCCGAACAAACGCTGAGCGCGCGAATAACACAGTTATCTCTGCCACACACTTCTGGGCTGCACAACACCAGTTTAAAGAGTTTAAATAGAGTTAGAGTAGAGTTTGATTAGTGTGTTTACCGTTCGTGAGTCTCGCGCTGCTTCCCCGCTTCAAATCGCGCCGTGACGGAAGCGGAAACACGTCATCAACCAGCCGTATTCTCCTCCTCGCCACATCAAAATACGAGGAGAATGCACACAAACATTACAATGACATAATAATAATGATAAATATGAAAGTAAATACATACTGAGATACATTTCACCAAAGTACTTTGTCAACGAGCAACAACGTCGAACTGCAATGAACGTGTTATTTACCCATCATACTATAAATAGCATTCTGAGATCTAACTTAACTATCAGTAATTACGGAAAGTAATAATGGCATATATATTAAATGGGGAAAATAAGAAGCTGAGATGTGCGAGCAAAACTGTTTATTAAAGGAAAACACGAGGAATAGTTTCCTCTTCCTGAGGGGAAACATGTTAAATTGTTGTTTGGTTTCTATTAAAAAAAAGTTTAAAATATCAAAACATTGGATAAATAATAAAAGAGGACAGGATGAGGATTCTGCTTCTGCAGCTGTGTCTCGATTTAAGGATGAAAATGAGTCTGAGGAAGAACATGTTCATCAGATACACACTAATGTCTTTATTTAAAACTGTATTTCCTTCCAACCTAGAGTGTGTGTTGTGTTTGATGACATCGCTTCATGGAAGTGTGTGTTTACAGTAAAGCTGTTCTCCAAACATGAGCCGAACTTTAATCATGTTCTCAAATCAAAAACACTGAATCTGACAGGAATAAAACACTCAATGAAACCGATGGAATAATTCTGGACAATATCATCATCATCATCATCATCATCATCACACTCACACACACACACACACACACACACACAGAGCGTTCGTTCTGCGCCGCTGGCTCGTGGTGTATAAAGGAATGTCCATATGAAAATTATTTCCAGGTTTTCACAAAGTGATCTTCGTATTCCGGAAGCTGGAATTATCCCTGAGAAACCAAGAAGAACAGGAGGATCAGAGACAACTCAGTGTGTGTGTGTGTGTGTGTGTGTGTGTGTGTGTGTGTGTGTGTGTGAGAGAGACGTACTTGAGACTGTCGTTGTGTGTCTTGTACTCCATGATGGTGTTGGGCGGGAGGTTCAGCACGCGTCGCAGTGTGTCTCGTATCCGTGACGTGGTCACCTGATCATGGGCTGTTTTATTCCAGATGGACAGAATGTCCTCCTGCACGCGCACACACACACACACACACACACACACACACACACACACACACGTCAGAACAGAACTAACAACATGTTCTCTGTTAACATCATCTTCTGTGTTTCACTGAAGGAAGTCATGCATGTTTGGAGGAAATGATGTCAGAACGATCATGTCTGATGAGCGACTGCCACCGAGAGCCTGGTTTCCCAGAATGCATCAGTACCTGGAAGCGTATGGAGACGACGACGCCGCAGATCTCCTCTCCCACCATGAACTGCTCTCCCAGCATCGCCAGGATGATGTTCTCCCAGAACCGGGACGCCAGACCCTTCCTGAGCCGGATGATCCACTTCCCCCCGTTCTTATTGGCCTCGTCCTGAGACACACACACACACACGTCAGAGACAGAGTCAGCACTGCACTCACTCTCACACACACACACACACACACACCTCCCACATGGGCTTGATTCCCTCCTTGAAGAGGTGGAAGTCGCTGTGTCCCGTCAGGTCTCCGGGTCGCACCAGATGACTGTAGAACTTCCAGAACTGCTCCACCTGAGCCGAGAGAGTGAGCATGAAACACACACACAGTGATGAAGCGGAGTGTGTGTGTGTGTGTGTGTGTGTGTACCGACGCCACGGTGCCCATCTGCCGGATGTTCTGCTCGTAGCTCTGAGTGTTGGCGGGTCTGCTGGGCGTGCGGCGCGAGTACCAGAAGGTGTAGTTATACTGCAGCGGGTGTTCACCTGGAGCCGGAGTCACCATCTCAACACACACACACACACACACACACTGCATTAACATCACGAGAGAGTGTGTGTGTGTGTGTGTGTGTGAGAAAGAGAGATAATGTACATTTCTTGCAGTGGCCAAACTCGCCAACACAATAAACACGTGGTTGACATGATGCTTATTAAAAAGGATGACGGATCATTTCAAAGTATTTTAAACCCAAATCTATTTTATTTGTGAACATGCAGATATTTTATATTAAATTATATTTGAAATAAGTTCCATTTTTATTTATTTATTATAAAGTCATATTTCTATCATTGTTTGTGATGCGTGTCAGTCACATGAGTTACACACACACTTCGTCTCACACACACCCCTCACCTCAACACCAGAGGTGGGGAGAAGGACCGCAGGCGTACACGCTGTTTGTTTATGCTTCAATGCACTTTATTTTGATTTAAAGGGGTCATGAACTGGCTTTTTAACTTTTATTATATTGTTGTCTGAGGTCAACTTATGACGTCCGCTTGGTTTTTGCATTCAAAAACATCAAAATGAATAAGTAATAGGCTATTTTGTACCCAAGTTGTGAGCCTTCCTGAAAAACAGTCGGTTTTTATGGGCGTCTCGCACTGAAGACTGAAGTAAACGCCCACTGCTGCGAGTGGAGAACAGTTTTGCATATTATAATGAGTTTAACTCACCCGTCGGTGCTCGTGGGGGAAAACGTCCAATGTTGTAAAATGGCAACCGGATTGATTCGCCCATACATGTTCGACCCAGAGTCCGTGTGTTGAACAATTCCTGTCAGATCCAATATAGACGGCACAGCACCGTTCTTTACTCTTAATCCGTCTGCAAATCCAGTCTTGTTGACAAAACAATCCTCAGTGAAATGAAGCGAACAGACGGACGATGTTTTACCCTCATCAGCTGGAATGTCATTAAAAATAAAGTTTATCCATGAAGTCCTGAATCCACAGGAAGTTTATGTAACGACTGTCTTCTGCCACAACCAGCGCTGCACAATATTCTGTATCGCTCGGTAGATCGATCCGGTTTGTCATCACGAGGTAGCTATGGGCGGGGCTAAACCGGCCGTCCTGAAGTAGGCGTTGATCTTCTCCTGCGGGGGTGGGGTTTTAACCCCTTTGACGTCATAGTTTCCCACTTTTAAAAACGAGTCGTTTTTAGAGGCTGTGTCAATAAAAGCTTTTATTGGACTAACAAGGACGTTTTCAGTTCTGAAACTTACAGGATATTCTTATAATATTCTTATAATTATCATATAAGATGACCTCTTAGATGTCAAAAGCTCAAGGAAAATTAGATTTCTCAGTTCATCACCCCTTTAATGAACTTCAGTTATTTGTCGTCATCACGCCTCTCTGGATCGATTCGTTTGCACGCGTCAGAATCCCAGCATCAACATCTCGACAGCAGACGGATCAAGATGACTGGTTTTACCGCTACAGTCGCTCAGAGGAAACGAGATTAGAGTATCCGAAACCGGACCTCAAGCACTGAGAACAACACAGAATCACACACACTTATGAAAATGCTGTTTATTTGAGAGAGTGTGTCTCTGAGAAGAGCTGTTTGCCCTCAGGTGTCTTCATCATCATCTTCATCATCTCCGCAGCTCCTCCTGCAGGGCGTCCCGGAGGTTGCTCATCAGGCGCTGGTTCCCCTCGGGGCTGAGGTGGACCCCGTCTCCGCACAGGTGGATCAGGCCGATGTTCCGGTGCCGAACGCGCCGCATCTGTCTCTCGGCCAGGAACCGGCACACCCTCCCGTTGACCCAGCGCCGGCCGCGCTCCACGCCGTACGACTTCCCGGTCTGCCCTCGCCAGCGCAGCCGCGGCAGGATCTCCGAGAACAGGAACCGGGTCCCGGGGAACATCCGGAAGCACTCGCTCAGGTCCCTCGTGATCAGCCGGAGGAAGCCGAGGCGGTTGCGGCCCTCGTGCAACAGGCTGTCCCCCCCGAGGTGCAAGAGCACGACGTCCGGCGCGCGCGAGGAGGAGGCGCTGAGGGAGCGCAGCGCGGGGAGGAGGCGCTCCCAGGGGCCGGTGTCGGGGGCCCAGCGGATCTCACAGCGCAGGCCCAGGCTCTCGTCCAGCCGCTGCGCACGGATGTGTGTGTGCAGTCGGCGGATGATGGAGCAGCCCACGATCCAGACCAGCGGCTCCACCTCGAGGGACACGGAGGGAACCGGTTTAGGCACGGGCTAGGGGCCACGGGGACGCTCTGGGAATTACCTGTTTTTTTAAAGCCTAAAATGCAGGTTAACCACCACAACCAATTACTGTGTAAAATTGAAGAGCTCAATATGTATATTTCAAAATCTCGGTCTTAAAATAACATTTACTGGGATTTCTTCAAAGGTAGTGTGTGTAAACCTGCATTTTACACTTTAAACAAAAAATATCATCACTGACCTTACTTACGCTGGACTACACAACACACTCACATGAACGCGCACATTCGGGGTGTCTGTCTCTGTGTGTGTCTGTCTATCTATCTGTGTGTGTGTGTGTGTGTCTGTCTATCTATCTGTGTGTGTGTGTCACCTTGCGTCTGATGTTGTTGTTGTTGTTGTTGATTGTTCCTCCATCGGTGTCGTTGATCTCCTTCATCTCCTGCTCACCGGAGTCTTCCTCCTTCAGGCTACAGATCACACATTACCTTTAATAACTCTTCATCACATCATTCACGTTAATCAACTACAGACTAATAGTTAACAACAGTTGTATAATAATACACAATAATAATAATATATATTGTCTTAAAAGTGTTTTAAAAGCTACTTGTAAGTTGATTTGGTGATGAGTTTTCATAACACATTATCTTTGTTTGTATATTATATACTTACATTAACATTTAAATAAATATAAATAGATTTCTACAAAAAACACGCTCATCGTTTGTTCAACTTACTTTTATTACTATCATTACTTTATCAACTAAAGCTATTTTACATTATGAATTAATTTTCATATTATGTGTTTAATGTTCATAAACTGGAGAATCTGTGTATGTAACGTTAGATGTTTATGTGTTAATACGTTGAAAGGTTGATTAGCCGTTAGCCGCTAACTTACTGTTCAAACTGATTCATCCCGCTTTGTCTTTCTTCCTTCTTCTTCCTATAAACGCTTATATAAATCCGCGTTATAATATTTATGAGAACAATAATAATACAACACGATCAAAAGCGTCTAGTGTCTTTCATTCAAACAGCACAGAAACTCAACACATGCTACACAGAAGCAAACACTCTCACTGCACATGCGCGGGAGTCATACGGCACCCGAGAGGCAACAAACACAGCGCGACGAATCGCGTTTTACCGAAGCTACAGAAAACGGTCAGAACTTTAATTAGCTAATTGCTAATTGGTTGGTAAATTAGGAACAAAAGTCCCTCCAGGAACGTCATTTGTTCAAAGTTATCTGGACTTTAATAATGTTCTCAAACTGCATTTGTTTCTGAAATGTTTTGATTGAACGCTCGTTTTTTAAATGTTTACTTCTTCAAAAGCGTTTCCATAATGTGTTAGAACGAAACAATTGATGTTCCCTTAACCTTCTCATAAACAAGAAAACAGCTTTGGAAACATTGAAAAAACATAAATCATAATAAAAAAAAGATTTTACAGTGTTTTGTAATACTAGATTTTACAGTGTTTTGCAATACTATAAAAGCTAGCATCTCTCTTATAAGTGTGTGTGTGTGTGTGTGAGAGAGTGTGTGTGTGTGTGTGGGGGGGGGGGGTAAGAGAGAGATAGTGAGTGATTATGTGTGTGTGTGTGTGTGTGTGTGTGGAAACAGGAAGTGTCTCTGAGGCCGCTGCTGTGTATTTCCTGTCTGTGTGACCTGTATTGTTGTTTAGGTCAGTGTGTTGATGGTGACGGATGAGACACACATGATCTGTGTGTGTGTGTGTGTGTGTGTGTGTGTGTGTGTGTGTTTATGACTTTATTAACTAAAATGTGTGTCATAATACAGATGCTGCTCAAACCAGCGGGACACAGATCTGGTGTTTATCTGTTCAAAGGTCAAACGTCTACAATCTCAGGGTTTTGGACACACACACACACACACACACACACACACACCTCTCCCTGCGGAAGCTTTTAATCCTGTTCTGAAGGGAAAACAAACATTCCTCCGTGTGAGTCGACAAATTCATGTTCAGCGCTGTACTCTCAGTGTCTTCACACACACACACACACACACACACACACACTGTACATGGTCCCATTAGGAGACATCATTAGGAAGTATGGCATTAGCTTTCACTGTTATGCTGATGATACCCAGCTGTATTTCTTCAAGATCTAACCAAACTCACCAACAGAATGAACTGCAGAGCTGATATAAAGAAGTGGATGACAAATCATTTCCCACTACAAAACTCTGAAAAACAGAGATTCTAATTATTGGACAAAAAACTTTATAATAACCCAGAATACTGTCTAACACTCGATCTTCGTCCTCGGTTAGGAACCTGTGTGTGTGTGTGTGTGTGTGTGTGTGTGTGTGTGTGTGAGAATACCGAGAATATCTAACTCGACTGCAGGCGGGAGATCCTTTTCCTATTTAACACCAAAACTCTGGAACAATCTTCCTAACATTGTCCCAGAAACTTGACTGCAGTTTTTTAGGATTTTTTTGATGAATCGAAAGTTCAAAAGAACAGCTTTGATTTTAAACAGAATATTTTTTTACATTGCAATTTTGTTCTTAATCAGTGTTTCTTGTTTTCATTCCAAATATCATATAGATGCATTTTCTAGAGGAGTGAAGTAGCGTCAGATATAGTTTTACTGTCTCTCTGTTCTGGTGTTTGTCCAGCAGGGGTCAGACTCTCAACACACACACACACACACCACTCTCTAAACACCCCGCTGACACTCTCCAGGGGTCAGAGGTCAAACACGCTCACTGTAGATCTGCTCTTGAATACACTCGCGGATTCCTGGAGAAAACACTCGGATTACAGGAGACAGAAACAACTGGAGCAGGACGAGAGTCACACACACACACACACACACACACACACAGATAGTGTAAATACGAGACAGACGATGGTCTGACTGATAAACGGTTTCTAACTGAAAGTGATGTTCTTCCTCAGTGTTTTGCTCTTCATATCTTCAGTCTCAGAAATTATGTAAATTAACAAAAAACGTTTATTCTAAAATGTACTCCAATGTGTGTTCGTTTGATAAGTTCATATGAATCCAGAGATTACATCATATATTTATACTTAATAAATAATTCAAATTAATTCGTCACTGACAGTTAAAATACAGACAAACAATCATGAAAGTAAAACGACAAAATGCATTTTCAAAATTGTAAATAAGTAAATGTTTATTATTATTATTGTAAGATTATAAGTGTGTGTTCAGAGTTACTGCCGTCGGTCCAGACGGAGGGAGGGCTGCTTCTAATCTTTATTGGTGGACAGTAATATTATTATGACACACACACACATATGCACATGCACACACAACACACACACACACACACACAACACACACACACATCCATGCACACACACACACACACACACACACACACACGGCAGATAAGAATTCAGCTTGGCTTGTGTTTTCATTCCAGTAATGTTGTTTTAATTTCAGAAGCGGGTTCTGGCCAGAGAGCATTGTGGGTGGAGAGGGGGGTTGTGGGTAAATGCCTGTCTGGTTTCTATCAGGAGTCTCATTTTTCACTCATATGTCTTTCTCTCTCTCTCTCTCTCTCTCTAGCTCTCCCCCCCCCCCCTTCTCTCTCTCCTCTCTCTCTCTTTCCTCCCTCTCTCCTTCGCTCGCCCCCCCCCCCCCCTCTCTCTCTCTCTGGCTTTCTCAAATCTCTTCATTCCAGCACAAATTCCTGCCAGATGTGGGCAGTGACAGATCAGAGGATGAGAATAAACCACACACACACACACACACACACACACACACGAGCGCGCGCGCAGAGGAAGTGAAGAACGGAAGAGTGCTCACTGGACTGGCCCTGGACTGACGAGTGTCACAGACCATCAGAGATCAAAGCGAAACACACACACACACACACACACACACAGCTCTGCATTCCGTTAATTTTATGGATTGGTGCGTTTGGTCAGAGTGTTAATAAATATAGTTGAGTATCATCAGATGAGAGTGATTTAAACCATAATGCGGTTCCACAAACGCCAACATAGTTTTCTAGTAGAGCCCGACTAATAAAGGATTTTGAAAGCCGATACCGATACAAATATTTTTGGGTTTTAAAATCCCATATTCCGATATATCAGCCGATATTTTTATTATTAAATATTGTTGGATTTCACACCCGTGTAAAAGAAAAGCGAACTTTTCTGCACAAGATACATTTGATACTTTTTCTCTATGTCTAAATGTTCCTCGCAAGTATAACTTACATTTTACAATGCAGGGACTGTAACTAGAGATATGCGAGTTATAAATACAGTAATCATTACTTTATTTAGACAGAAAACCTTCATTGTGGTTTCCAAGCTCATTAATGTTAACGTTAGTCTTCCACTGATGATAGTGGCATTAGCTAGTCTATGATGAGCCATAATTTAGCAATAGATGACATCATACTGCGAAAAGTAAAACATACATGTTCAATATAACAGGCCAAGGAGAGATGATTGAAGCGTGTTTCGTCCATTTTTATTTTATTTTTTAAATATTCATTTATCGGCCATTATAACTGCCGATACCGATATTATGATAAAAGCCCAATATCGGCCGATAATATCGGTCTGGCTCTATTTTCTAGTCTATGTAAAAGAATGTTGTGGTCGATGGTGTTCAGCACAGTGTGTGTGTGTGTGTGTGTGTGTGTCTTTGTGGAGACAGGAAGTGAAAACTGCTGCCGGGACGCCTAACAGGATGCCTGAACTCAAGCCCCTCCCTGCTGGGGTCAAAGGTCAGATGTCACAAGAGGAAAGAAAAGATTCTTTTCATATTCATTTATTATTGTGAATATATTTGGGGTTTCATAATCTTATATTTTACTTTCACACACTAAACATGTTCAGAAGTGTTTTCATAAATGTGACGTGACGAGTTTGACAGATCTTTGAGCACACACTCCAACTAACGGCAGAACACACGTGTGTTTAGAGGAATACATAAATATATATCTGATGATTCCCAAAACTCATGTGTTTCAACCTCTGCCAACACTGACATCAGCACACACACACACACACACACACACACACACGATGTGTGTTTACTGAGAAGCTCAAATGTGGTTGGACTTTCCCCTCAAATGTAAGCAGCATCTTTTTTAGAAGAGCAGAATAAACAGTCCATCCACACACACACACACACACACACGCGCGCACACACACACGCACGCACACTGCATTGTTCCAGAGTTTCCCGTTTGGAGCCGCTGGATTGGCTGCAGATGTGATGGGCGGCTGTCACCGTGGCGACAGGAAACCACACACACTCCTGCTGATAGTCGCACACACACACACACTCTCAGTGTATCTGGTGTGCATTAGTGAGTTTCTCCTCAAACCTTCACCTGGTTTAATCAGATCCGTCTGCTCTCTCGCTACCGTCTGCACGGATCTGGAAGGGCTTTGGAGGGTCAGAGGTCAGGGGTTATGTTTCTGTGGATGCACACACACACACAGTTACATACGGGGTGTTAAAAAAGTTAGAAAACTGAGAAGTGTGTGTTTATAGCTCAAATCAAATAATTCACTTCAATGACCCTAATAACCGTAACGACTACACACACACACACACACACACACACACACACACACACACACACACACACACATCACTGTGACACATAACAGACATCAATATAATTACACACCCATGATCCTCCTGTCAATCACACACACACACACACGAAGGATCATAAATCCAGAAGAGCTTCCTGCCATCTGTGTGTGTGTGTGTGTGTGTGTGTGTGTGTGTGTGTGTGTGTGTGCACATTTGCATGCTTCACAACTTGAACATGAACACACAGACCTAACCCTAACTAAAAAAGATTAAAACATTGCAAGTGTGAGTATAACGTCCGACATAATATGAAGACAAAACACACTGAACTGCATCTGCATTCATTCATGTGTGTGTGTGTGTGTGTGTGTGTGTGTGTGTATCGGGTGTCTCGTGAGCCGGATCTGTTCTTAATTGATGTCATTATAGGGACAGCAGCAGGAAGTCACATGACCCTCTGAGAGTTTATCTCTCAGCCAATCACACGAGGAGTGACAGGCACCTTCATTACCTGAGAACACAGGTGTGTGTGTGTGTGTGTGTGT